AATATGCCTTGAAATTGATACTGAAGAACAATTGTCATGGGTTCTACAGGTCCTTTTTCGTATTCAATTTTGAGAAATTAAACGATGTCAAAATACAAATTCGAACTGATTCTTGCGAACATAAAAAATGATAATAAAATGAATAGGCTGGACTTTATCCAAACTCCCAAGATATTAATGGATATGGATCATTATTTTCACACATGTCTATTTTGGAACAAACAAATCACTGAATTCTCATGATTTATATGTTTGTGTATTCAGTCAAAAAACGATTAGTGCGATATGACGTTTAAATCAGTTTACTCGAAGAGACATTTTATGAGCATAAACTGTTTGACGAAATCTGTGGTCCGAAAATGGTTGTCTGCATTGAATAGCCGCACATTTAATTTTTTTCTACGCGTTCAAAAATCACCACATCAACTCTTAAGTTGTAATACAGCTTGTGTAGAAGTTGTAATTTCGTCTTCTCAGTGATCAGGTCCCAAAACTTCCACTCGAGAAATCGGACGATTTATACAATAGATGCATTTTATACAAAAAATAATATTTGATTGTTATAATATTAAAGTTATGCTAACTTGTATTAAAACAAGGCATTTGTTTCATTATTTTCTGATAATTCTTTTTTTACATAAATACTCTGAAAGAAATGTAGAAACTAAATACTAATTAATAATGTGTCATTAATTAGATAGTACAAACATTAACTCCCAATAAATTGTTTCAGCTGTTATCTGATAATTTTTACACGAATGTTTTATCGAACTGATTATTTCTCCAGCAGTTAGTCTTTTTCAGATAGTATCTTATGCCCTAACGTTGTCTCATTCTACAAACAAAGAACACGAAGCATTGTGTGTTGCAGTTCGTGCTTACTGCACATGGTTGGAGGCACTATCGAAAGGTATAGTAGCACATCTTCCCGGCCCAATGAAGCGCGATCCTAGAAATTATATATGGTTTGTCGCATCTTAAGAACTTTTTTTTGCACTTTACCAGAGACTACCTGTGTTCTTTCACTGCTTTTCATCGGTTTTTCTATGTTAGCTTATTTTGTTCTGACCACTATTGACAAATTATTGCCGCTATGCTCTATGAGTAATTTAAGGTAACATATAACACTGTACAAATAACAGTGATAATTTTTTCTTTTTCTTTTTTCTTAACTGATGAAATCTCAAGAAATTATTTATCAGCGACACTTTTTTTTCATTGAGAAATTATAACCAAACTTCCGGACAGGCTCGTCATAAAATCCGTTGGAGTACTCAAAAGAGTGCGATGTTTTGGAAGTACCAGGATTTTACATAGTAATAACAAAAACTCCAGCATTTTGTGATATAATGATTATAATAAGTAAGCTATGAGCATTCATTAACTTAATAATGATTTCTTTGTTATATGTTTTGTTCATTTCTTTTTGTCGAAAATATACCTCCAGATTTAGTGATGTACGCTAGTTAGTCGTTTGATTTTTTTTCTCTTTTTCTGTCGCTATTATTCAAATATGTCATTAAAGCATCCTTCTGGATTCACTGCGAACGCTTTTCGTTCGGAAAAGTAGCGGATCGGAAACGGTAGTGACCGCAACACGGCAAGCACACGAAATGGAGAATGTTCTGCGAACAATGGTCCAGAGTTTACTGAATTATGATGGAAAACACAACGATATAATCTGGCCAGCGGTTTTGAAGTTCTTACTCAATGCTACCGATTTACTACTTTCAGGACAAACGTGTGTGGGTTGGTTATATGCAGTTGGACTTTACTTAGAGATTAGTTAACATATTAATACAGTGTAACATACCGTGTTTTTCGGAAAATACGACAGGGTTTTATATTATTCCCCCTTCTCCCTCCTTTCCCCAAAGCAAAACGTGCTAGAGCTTATTTTCAGAGTATATCTTATTTTCGGGGAAACACGATAAGTCTGGAGCTTCGGCAAAGCCAGCCGGTGCTTCCCCCGGCTGTGCTGAGTGACAACGAGGCCTGGAGATGGCCAGCATGAAGTGGGGGTGAGCCCGAGGCCTCATCGAGGGTTTGCTGCAGCTGTAGGGGACGTCGGCATTGATGTTCCCTGCCACTGCAGCAAGACCGAACTACGTCTTATTTTCATGGAGGGCTTATTTAAGCCCTTTTCTGAAAATATCACTAGGGCTTATTTTCAGGGGATGATTTATTTTCAAGGAAACACAGTAGTTTCATTGTATCGACTAGCAAACATATGCTCCCAAATGTAACCGTGAGATAAATTGGTAAAATTCAATGCAAAAGTTAAATTTTCATGAAAATTTCACAGAATCGTTTGTAGTTGATAATCAGTATTCAGGTTAGAGGTCATAGCAAAATTAGGTTTAATAGGCATCCTTTTTTGAGTAGACTTCACTTGTCATTTTGACAGATTTTCAAATTGATGTTTTCACAGATGATGTCACGTTCCTAATGGCCCCTAAAATCACAAAAACTCTTTTGGATATATTTTTGTGTGCCGCTCGTCTTGAACAAATACCATCACCGACATACTGGAAAACACTTTCTTTCCTGAGCAAACGTTGGCGGCATCAGGTTGATTTTCCTTATTCATTTGTATGTTTGTTTAGAGCGCTAAGACAGCTGTCAATTATTTTTCTATTCTTTGCTAATTTGCATAATTTAAGTGAAGATATTTCGTTAAAAAATTCAATAAAACTGTACAGTGAAACAAACGAAATTAGCTGATTAGCGTTCTCTTTAGCAAACTTGATATTTTAATTACAATGGTGTTTCTTAGTATTTATTTGTTATATGGAAAAGTTTTAGGTGAGCTTCATCGAGAATTGGGCAAGGAAAGTGGTTTCATTATCCGTAATCATTGTTCAGGAGATATATGGTGAAAACTACTGCCCAATCACCATAAGTTAGTTTTAATTTTATTGAAGTGTGAATGGTTTGAAAAGTTGGGTTAGTTGTCCGTAATTTTATTATTTCCTTTCCATTAATCTTGTTTTGATTTTTATCATAAATATCATAAATATATGGATATTTGCTAGCTTTTTTAATTCAACTCAGCAGCCTAAATTACTTTGATAATATCTACAAATAGTTGTAACATTTCAAAATTTAATTCAAATCCGAATCACTAGTAAATAATTAAATTTTAGTGGATGAACAAGTGAAATTATTTGCGGCTAATAGCAAGAAGACTACGGAAAATAGTGACACTTTGCCCGTGTTATATGTTTGTTGGTTTCAACTAATGCATATGATTGGTAATCCAGCATCAATAATTTCCTTTGAACCTCGCACTTCCGGAACTCTACCACCAAATATTCTCAATGCTATGATGATAACTGGTAAGCAAAATTTCCACATTTCGATCAATATCACTTATTTATTTAACTGATAACTTCTTTACCGAATGACTGTGTATTAATGACAAGGGATTGATTTTTGGGTCTTCGGATATCCATAAAATCTGCTCCTTTTGCTGCTTGGTTTATAGCTAGTAGGACTTATTAAGAGTTGTTGATTCCAAAATTCTTTTTTTAACTGGATGGTAAACTAGTTGCGATAGCACATTTGCTCATCTTTTTTTTGCCCAAGAGTCAGTATTTGGATCATTAAAAAACGGTGATCTTAGTGAGAATGAATTGAACGGCCCTTTTTTCCGTAGGTTTTTGGGATGAAAAATTTCCTTAGTGGCACGACCTGGATTTATTTAATTTTTAAAGGTGGTGCAATGAGCAGTGATGGAAATCCATTGATTGGGAAATTCGATGAAGAACTGACGGAGTTCACTGTTAATAACTTAAGACGGTGTTTTTTCATGGCATCTGCTGCCGTGACGAAGTTGGTCGATATATTTTATGGTTAGCTGATCACTTGATTTTAAAATGTGTTTTAGTGTTATCTCAAACGAACACGAACTTCCAATCATAATTCAAAAGAGGTAATGAAGGAATCAAAAGAACTCGACAACATTTCATTTGCGAACTAAAAAAGCTATTCACGAAGTTGCCTTTGTGATTTAAGGTTTTTTGAAACTTTAATACAATTAAAGTTGCAGTATTTAACAGTACGCGCTTTTTCAGGAGATAGTCGTGTGGCTATAGATTTTCGCGAATCCGATGATTTAATGAGACTTTGGTCTGATTTGAATCGCTCTGCATATGAGGATTGGTTAAGACATCAACAGGTAATCTTATGAAAATGGCTAACATCAGCTATGTTTTTCTTTTTCCTTTCTTTTCATTTTTCTTTTCTTCTTTTCCTCTTCTGCTCTGATTGTGTAAGAGAAGCTTTTATTTCCTTCAAAGTTCGATATCTCCAGTCTCTTGTGAATATAGGCTATATATGCCAATCCATTTTGTTTTATTTTAACATGTATTCGAGTACTTTATTCTTGATGACTTCAGGAAGTTTTAGGTACTTCCTCGAAGTTCGAGTAATTCTACAGCTATAGCTGGAGATAACGCAACGTTGACAGCAGCTCACTCTGCTATGGTGATGAGCGGAGGAAGCGGTGGTGGTTCGAAAAATACTCTTAGCATTCCTGGTGTCTCAAAAAGTCGTGCAACTTCTGGCGAGTCACTTTCTGTATAACTTAAATTATTTTTCAGCTGCTAGAAAATATTATGACTTAAATGGTTATTTGGAATTGATGAGGAAAAAAAACAAATTTTTTTCTTCTTTTTTATATTGTTCCATCGATTAAGAAGTAACTGACTCATTATAGATAAACCAAGGAAATTTGGAATTAGATTTAGGTGCGTATGTTGAGAATGACGCTGCAAAAGAAAATAATAAAGTGATATGTAAACATTCAACTTCTATTCACAACTTTTTTTTACCAGTTAAGCTTTGCATAGCATAGTGTATTGTTTTGATTGTAAAGAATTAGTTGGTTTATAGCAACGGTAATATTATTTTATGACTTTAATTTATTTCAGAACGCTCATTAGCCATAAGTATACCAGTATCCTCACCTGCTGCAAGTTTTATTGAAGAGATGTCACTAGAAGTTCCTAAACCTAATTCAGCTCAATTTGTTTGGCATTATTTGCAATGTAATTTCACTTCATTGTATTTGGACTGATAGCAGGATTTTTCTTCAAACCATTATATAATTGATGAATTTTCACTGTTTTGATTCCTTCTATCTTCAGAAATTCAAATGTGGTTCGGGTTCTGTAATATGGCAGTTATCAGGTTCTATCAGTTTAGGTAACAAGGTTTACAAGCCATACCATGGTGAACGTCAACCGAAAGTGGCCCGGATGTTAGATACTTTTATGGACTGGCTTGTACAGTCTTCGCTCGTGAAACCTCTTCGATCTGCATCAGATGGTAGGTTCTATTTTATTTCAAATTGATCTTAAAATTTCAATTTTTCATACCTAATAGACTCTTCATCTCTTTATATTTCATTACAGTTCTCTTTAAAAACGTACATTTTTTTATATATATATTTTTTATCATTTCTTTTATTTTACTGTCTAAAAGTACATTTTTTTATCATTTCTTTGATTATTTTACTCTTTAGTTTTTGGTGTTGCCAACAACATTCCAAATGATTGCCAATGCTTGCTGGTTCCTTACTTTTCTAACAGATCTTAGAAGGTTTTCCCTTCCACGCCAATTTTTTCAAAGAGACATAACCTGTTGACATGAGAAACTTTATGCGAAAACGGTAATTATGTTTTAGTAGACTTTAATAAAATGCATCAATATTTCCTGGCAGTTGTTTGCCACCAAAATTACCTCAATGCTTTTCATTAACTTGTTGCTGCTGAATCCGACTGGTCGATTTTTTTTGCCATATTTTAACTTGATAATTCTTAATTTTGCGTTATTTGTAAGCAGTGAAAATCGTGCTATTTCAAGTTCGTTAAGTATTGTTCCTAAAAGAACTTTGGGAAATAGTCTATAGGTTCCTGTCTACTAGATCTAGAAAACTAACTTATTTACTCGAAGTTTTCAAAATGTCAGTGCACATTGCTGGCGCATGTTACTACTGTGATTAAAATGCAGTCTCCATTTACAGATGCAGTGAGGGCACCTTTCGCTGTATTGCTTTTGTTTGTTTAAGCTATGTGTATCATCGCTTATATGCATTATATATTTTAAAATGCTTTCAATTCGTTCTTCCTGACTTTTTTGCTCTTGAATCTAATTGATTTATTTGTGCCTGTCTTTCTTTATATGTGTATGGACTTGCTTTTCTCGTTTTTTTTTTTAATCAGCTTAGTTTTCTTTTATAATTGCTGATCTTTATGCAGGTCTGTTTGTGAACCTACTAAAAAAATTTAGAGAAAGATGATGCAGTTTTTGAAGAGTACTTAGTGATTCCAGTGACTGTTTCTTGTTTTTCATCCATTTTCTGTTTATTTAAATTTCGATTTGTTTGTTTACTTCAAGGTTGAACAGTGCAGTTTAACAAGCAGCAAATAGATAAAATTTAAATGTTTAGCACATATGTTGTATATCTTGCTTTCGACAGTTTTTTCTAAATTCGGTGGTTGCTTGAGGAATATCGAATCCTGATTTCATATCCCCAAATGATGGTTTCTGGTAAAAGAAAATATTTTTTAGGTGAAAATGGAATAGATTCATTGAGAAATTACGATATCTTGTTGCTATTAAATCTAGTTACAAGTTATTTTTCAGTAAATATTTGGAGCTCGTTTCATTTTTCACATTGTTGCTTTTTCATTTGTTGATGATAATCCTCAATTATTTTTATATAAGCAAAATTCCTTACCAGATGGAGGAAAATCCGCATCAGTAGTGTAAATGATATGTGGAATAGCTACACCATTCTGGAGGTCGTGTTATACAATACACGGGGTGGTGGTAAGGATTGAACAATTTTATTTATATGCTCTCATCATTTGATCTTTTTTTTATTATCTTTATTTTTATGCGTTTACTCCACATTCTTTTTTTTTTAGTTTATATTTACCCTGTCCATCTGTGAACTTCGCCTGTTTATTAACCAACTGATTATTTCATCAAAAAAAATGGACATTTATTGAACGAAGAACATCATGGGTTATGTTAATTTGTAATAATTCAAAGAACCAAAACACTTTTCTGTTGAATTACTTGCTATCTAAATCAATTGCTTTACGTGGGAACATGTAAAACTCTTTAGCAAAATACTCAAGGTATAATCTCCTATGGCAATAGCGTGTAATGGAGTACTTTTTGTTGTGAAGATGTGAAAATCTTAATTAGTAATGTAGCAATCTTAATTAGTAATGTAGCATTCAGTTTTTTGAAAAACTTTCTTATTTCGCCATTTTATCGAGCTGTTGAAAGGAAGATGCAAAGAGATAAATCAAGGAATGTTACTGAATCTTTTAGAATTGTTGAACATCATTCAGCGTATTGAGTTCTAATGTAATCGATTAAACTTCTTAGAAAGATATGAAAATGAGGTACGAAAGCTTATTAAGTATATCACCCTTTTTTTTATTCCATCAGCTCTGGATTTTTCATACATCCATTGAATGCATGACAAATCCAAGCAGAAATGATTAATTCCTGGGGGATATTATGATTCGTCTTTTTTATTCAGCTGTTGCTCATTTCTGTTGTTGTTGATGTTGACACTCGTTTGCTTCCCGTCCCTTTGAATGGAGCATGGAGTCCTTCCCCTCCGAACTAGCGACAAATTATAATTTGTTGTGTTTATAGATTTGGAGCACGTATAGTGGGAAGTAGGACTCAGAAATGGAAATAGTCATGCTTGGTTATAAGTTTTAGGTATTCAACAGTTTAGGCTAGCTATGTATTGCCATATCTCCAGTTCAAAAAATTCAACTAGGTATAGAGATGGCATATTTTGTTAATAATTTATGATTAAATTACAATATGTTAATGTGGCCTTTCGTCTCTGTTCATCTTAATTCTACGTCACTGAATGTTTTAGTTACGAGTTTCATGATTAGTAATGGAAAGGATTTCTCGAAATTTAGAGCATTTGTTGGTCTTGCCATCATTACTGCCTGAATCCTACGAAATAACGCACTGCGTTTTTCGTCAGGCTTCGTTAGATAAGAGTACTAAATACTTTTACGGAAACGGAAGACTATGTCTAAAAATTATCGCGGAACTTATTTGCGATTCCTAGAAGATTGAAATGTCCTGACATCATTTCATGGTTTATGCACCTGGTACTGACTGACTTTGTTCAAGGAGGAAAAATGCACTGGTGATAGCATATTCATAATTACTTCCTACAAAAAAATATTGTACTTCAAAAGTTTCGGAGCAAAAATTGCTGAAATTCAGAAATATTGAAATTGATAATGAGTAATTACTTGTCCTGTAAAAATGACATCGTTTTGTTTCCTTGAAGAATATATATATATATACATATATATATATATATATATATATATATATTATTTATTTATTTATTTATTTGTTTATTTATTTATTCTCACTTTTTGTTTATTTTTATTTTATTTTTATTTATTTATTTAGTTTATTTATTCTGTTTATTTATTTTTTTTTATTATTTATTTATTCGTTTGTTTTATTTATTTATTTGTTCACTCATTTACTTGTTTGTTTATTTATTTTATATATCTATTTTGTTTGTTTACTTATTTATTTTTATTTATTTATTATAATGTTATATTTAAAGGCAGTGATGTTAGTGGTAGTCGTAGTATTAAAAAATAGTTTGATTTGACACCGTTCAGCAGTTATCAGACCATTTATTCCACTAATAAGTCTGAATGGGAATGTCTCCATCCTTTCCCAATCGATAAAAATTATACTTTTAAAACTATCATATCTATTATGATCCATACGTTACTTTGTTGTCACTTGGAACTTGTTAAATAATATTCAAACGCTTAGTTTGGATTTTTAATCATTCATCAGTAAGTTATATAAGATCTCTCACTGTCTGACTTCCAAAAGAGCATGACACTTGTCAACTATGTCATGAATTGCTACGTTACATGTGCATTGCAATTATTCATGTATAGGTAGTTTCGTCTATTATAAATCCTATGGTCGACAGAAATTTGGCGTAAACATTGAATTTATGGTAAATGTAGATTATTGCTGTGTTGTTGTTACATACTCATTTCTCTATTTTATGTATTTCTCTATTTTATGTATGGTTAATATATATACATCTGTAACTGATTCAAAAGACATTTGTTTTTAATTGAATTTTTATTTTTATGACGTTTTGCCCTTTAAAATTTTTCTACTAGTTGTAGGCATCGCTGTTTATGCCTTGATACAAAGACAAGTGCTAATGTGATTGCATGAACTTTATCACTTTCTTAATTTTCGAGACTTCTTGCTTTTCAACATTTATTCTATATATATATATATATATATATATATATATATATATATATATATATATATATATATA